TTCTTCACTATTATACTTGTTTCTTTAATTTCTCCACTTTGACATTCTGTTCAAAAACAAAAGTGTTCTCCATAAGTTTCTTTAATTTTTACTAAACTGTTTAATAAGTGCTTGACTGAATCTAAATCTTGACACATGTCCCCTTCAACTGCTATCCAATTACCCCTCTCTCTATTATAAGCAAAGTCTTTGAAAATTGATCAACAAATTTCTAACATCCCAAGTTGAGTCTAATATTTTACTCCCTGACAATCATTATGGTTTTTGAACTTCTTGTTTTAAGGCCGACTTGCTAACTGTAATGGCATGCTGGTCTTCTCCATAAGCTTGCTTTATGTGACGTATCTGAGAAAGTTTTTGAGGTTATCAAATCATTTCTTTCTAATTGTTTTATTAATGTCATCCTCGAAGGCTAACACTCTTCTTCGTTTCCAGTACCTTCTGGAGTACCTAAAATGGTTATACTTGGTCCTGTGTTATTTTTTATCTACATTAATGATCTTCCTGACAGTCTTACATCTAAAGTGGCTCTATTTGTTGATAAATAAACTTTATACCCCTGTCTAAATAAAAAAACTGATCTCACTTTTGTAACAGCTTGGGGCTTGTAGTGCCTTTTGAATTTTAACTTCAACAAAACTCAGTTGCTTACTTTAACCCAACTCCAATTGTGGTAAAATTGCATTTCCTTCTATTTTCTACAATTGGTTGCTGGTCAAAGGAGCTATTATCTCTAGTTCCATTAACCAAAACTCATTCTCGATTGAATCGTGATTCAGCAAAGTTGCATTTTACTTTTTCTGTTCCTGCATGCTCTAAAAATTATATAAACTATTTGTTTTTGTTTTTTTTCTTCGGACTGTATTTATCACAGTCTAATTATTTAAAAAATTGATTATATATTCTGTATTTTATTGAAGTATATCTTTTATTTAGATTTAGTACGAATCAGCAGTGAACTTATTATACAGAAATTATCAAACAAGTTTGAAGACTGAAAACTTTGATTCACTCAAAAAGTCACTTTTCAAGTTTAATTATTTCCTTTCGAAATTAAATATACAATCAATACCAAATTAGAGTCACAAAGTAAATTTAACTTTCTTAAAGCAATATTTTAAATAAAAAAATTTAGAAGAAAACTTGTGATTGTTGTGTTGCTTCTTCTTCCTATAAATTAACCTTATTATTTAGCAACTAAATTTTCTTTTTAATTTATAATGTATTTTAAAAGAAAAATTTGAAAGAAAAAATGTTGTATTTTATAATATTAAAAAAAAAGAAAAGGCTAAAACTTTTCTATATTATCTAACTTGTTTTTTTATTATTATTTTGCTTGCATCTTTTGTTAAGAATTAAGAAGTATTAATCAAGGAAGAAGAGAATATAATACTTTTTGTAACATAAGTATAGTTTTTGAAATATTAAGTGAAATTGAGCTTCATAAACATAAAGACTGTTTTCCTCTCATTTCGGTTTTATAAACTTATTGCTCAGGATAACTAATTAGACGCTTATATAAAAGGAATTAATGAGAATAAAATCAGCATAAAAAAACTTTTTGTTTTATCTTTTTTTTTATTATTGTAAATGTTTACTCGACAGTTTCATTAGGCTTTTTTAAAATCATTTTCGTAAATCGTCTTTTAGGTTGTAATCTTAATCTGTCTAATTAAAGGCGCCAAAAATATTAGGCACCTTTTTTTTTTGAGTAACTCAAACTATTAACCTGAGCAACATTCAAAGCAATTGTGGAACATAGTAACTTTTAATCTTGTTAAAAAGCAAAGAAATTATTGGTTTAAGATTAAAAAATAAAAATCCGTAAACGACTGTTTATTCAATATATCAAAGTTTTTTTGCTTTTAGTGAGTACATCTTTATTCTAGTTCCGCAACATCTACAAAATTAAATATTTTGCAGTTAAAGGATTCTTATTTAGTGAATGCGTAGCACTAAAAAAATTTTATTAAAGATTATTAAAAGTGTATAAGGGTTCTTCACGCTCAATTAGAATAGTAGAAAGATGAAATGCTTAACGTGGTTGTACATGTTTTTAAGATGATCCACGTCAAGGACGTACAAAAAGTGCATTACAACCAGAAATCGTATCAAAAAAATAGCGTATATTTTTGGAAGATAGTCAATAAATTGAGAGAGATTTAGTAGAAGCTCTAGACATCTCCTTAGGTAGTGGAAACAAAATTTTGAATGAAGTTTTGGGTTTTAATAAGTTGTGTGCACAATGTACGTGACATTTGCTAACAATGAAACAAAAACAAATTCGGTTGCAACTTTCTTAGCAACATTTAGCGATTTAGAAAGAATAAAAAAAATTTTGTGCGTCGTTTCATAACTATGGCTAAAACTTGGGTCTACAATCATTAACCTGTTGTAACCTTTTGGACCAGTTTTGGACAAGTGAGAAGTGAGAAATGACCAGGTTTAGAAAAGAAAAAAATAACTTTTCATCAAGAAAACGCACCTTACGCAGGTAAAAAAACCATCGCAAAAATCAGTAAATTAAAGTATAAATTGTTGCAATATCTATCATATATACCAGTAGTTTTTCGGGAAATAAGGTAGACGTTGATTTAGTGTAAGAATAGCAAAAAGTTGACTAACTTATGGCTATTCTCACATTAAAAAAAATTCATGTGTTGAAAATGATTTTCATTAAAACAAAGAATTCAAGCAGCCCAGGAAACCTATTTCAAAGGTCTTCTAGATTCTCACTACAAGGAAAGAGTACATAAATTAGAAAATCACTGAAAAAAGTGTATCGAAGTTCAGAGTGATTATATGGAATAACAAACTGTATTTAAAACACTTAAATTTATTTTTTTAACAAACGATAAAACTTATTCAGCAACCTAGTAGAAAAATATAGCTACTAATAATAAAATATAGCTACTTTAATTAGGCAGATTAAGATTACAAGCTAAAAGACAATTTACGAAAATGATTTTAAAAAAGCCTAATTGGAGGGGACATGTGTCAAGATTTAGATTCAGTCAAGCACTTATTAAACAGTTTAGTAAAAATTAAAGAAACTTATAAAGAACACTTTTGTTTTTGAACAGAATGTCAAAGTGGAGAAATTAAAGAAACAAGTATAATAGTGAAGAAACATGTATATTACAGAAGCAATCATTCTAGAAATCAGTAGAGAACAAACATACTTGGTTTAGGAGGATGGAGAATATTTGGATAAGAATAAATATATTTGGTTTAGGGGATAGATAAGATAATGATAAACATAAGTGCTGAAAAAATAAGTGCTGGTTGTACTGCTTTGGTTTCTGCTTGATATAGTATAGGTATTCGCCTACAAACTTCATTAGTAGCTGCAACCTACAATTGAAGATTGGGATACTTAAAGACAACATCAGGCAAAAAATTATATATACTCTTAAAGGTAAGATATTCTGTATTTATTTTAATGGAAAATACATACAGAATATCTTACGAGTGAAAGAGAATGAAGAAGACTTTAACTAACTGATTTTTTTAAAAGTGATAGCAGTCAGTGTTACATCACATGATATAGATGGCATTGATGACAAACAGCTGGGTATTGTTCAGTCAGAAAGGCTTCAAAAGTAGTGACCATACAAGTTGGATAACATGCAACAAAACATAATGCTAGTGGCCAGGGACAACAAGAAGAAACCTTAAAAAAGAATATTATTCTAATAAATCTCTTAGAGTAGCATCTTAGAATACTATCCTAATAAATCTCCTCTCATAATAAAATTAAGAAATATAACGCATATTATAAGAAACAAATATTTTGAATATCACATCCCCCATGTATATTGTTCATTAATGTTATAAAAATTATTTGTATTTAATGCTTAGAAACTTAGAATATCACATTGCCTTAAAGATATTAAGAAATATATGGCATGCTACCGGTATTATATGTTTAGAATATTACATCACCCATGTATTTTGTTAAAAAATAACAAACTAGATTGTGCTTAGAATGTTAGAATGTCACATCACCTTAATAAAATTAAAAAATACACTATTGCATGTTTAGAATATTACATCACCCATGTATTTTGTTAAAAAATAACAAACTAAATTGTGCTTAGAATATTAGAATATCACATCACCTTAATAAAATTAAAATAAACACTATATGATGTTTAGAATATTACATCACCCATGTATTTTGTTAAAAAATAACAAACTAAATTGTGCTTAGAATATTAGAATATCACATCACCTTAATAAAATTAAAATAAACACTATATGATGTTTAGAATATTACATCAGCCATGTATTTTGCTAAAAAACAACATACTGGATAGAATGTTAGAATATCACATCACCTTAATAAAACTAGAAAATACACTATTACATGTTTAGAATATTACATCACCCATATATTTTGTTAAAAAACAACATACTAGATAGTGCTTAGATTGTTAGAATATTACATCACCTTTAAAAAATTTAGAAATACACTATTACATGTTTAGAATATTACATCACCCATGTTTTTGTTAAAAAAACAACATACTAGATAGTGCTTAAAGTGTAAGAATATCACATCACCGTAGTAAAATTAAAAATACACTATTTCATTTTTAGAATATTGTATCACCCAGGTATTTTGTTAAAAAACAACATATTTGATAGTGCTTAGATTGTTATAATATAACATCACCTTAATAAATTTAAATATACGCTATTTGAAGTTTAGAATATTACATCACCCATGTATTTTGTTAAAAAACAACATACTGGATAATACTTAGAATGTTAGAATATCAAATCACCTTAATAAAACTAGAAAATACACTATTACATGTTTAGAATATTACATCAGCCATGTATTTTGTTAAAAAAATAACAAACTAGATTGTGCTTAGAATGTTAGAATATCACATCACCTTATTAAAAATAAAATATACACTATTTGAAGTTTAGAATATTACATCACCCATGTATTTTGTTAAAAAACAACATTCTGGATAGTGCTTAGAATATTAGAATATTACATCACCTTAATAAAACTAGAAAATACACTATTACATGTTTAGAATATCAAATCACTTATGTATTTTGTTAAAAAACCAACATACTAGATATTGTTTGTTAATGGACGCAGTCGGAAAGTCACGTGATTATGCGCAATTTTAATGGCGCTATTAGTTACCATCTTGGAAAGGGGATACTAATTTAGAAATCGTATGTAAATATAAGTTTTGAAGTTTGAAAAAAGATATGTCAATTTATGAATACTTCGAAAAATTAGATTTTAACGCTGCAGAAAGGTACAAAAACAAACTTGCGATCCTTGGAATTAATCAATGTCCGTACAAATTCCCTGCAGATGCTTGGAAAGATGACCCAACAGAATGGCCATCTGTTCAATACCATGATGTATATCATTATCTAATAAAAAGTCCTAAAATCTTTTCTCCTGAGGCTATAGATAACTACAAAGCATTAGATGCTTATAAGTATTTTGTCTCTGGTTGGGTGCAAGAAGTTTTACATATGATATTGAGCTCAGGTTTTGTTATTTTTAAAGCAGAAGTTAAACCATCTTACAGAACAAACGACCCAACTCATACACCGTGGATTGCTGTTAACAACAAAGGATCAATCATCTTAAGTCACTGTAACTGCATGGCAGGGTGAGTTAAATTAATTTTTTTTTTACTTTTTCCCATACAACTTTCTAGTCTTATGTTGGATTATATGGGTTAAAGATATACATAATAACTAATGTGTATGTGGCATGTAAATGTTTCACAAAATTTAATTTGTAACCAATGAGATAAACTTAAAAAAGGGACAATGCAATAAAAATTATTTTTTTGTAATTATTCGAAAATTAATATTTTTCAGATATTTCTTACTTTTTTATAGACTTGGTGAAACCTGCTCTCATGTTGCAGCTGTTTTATATAAATTAGAAGCAGCAGTTCGTTTGGGTTTGACATCAAAATCTTGCACAGATGTCCCTTGTAAATGGAATCAAAATTTTACAAAAGATGTTAATCCTGCTCCAATATCTGAGATAATTTTTTACAGTGCTGATGCAAAACAAAAAATACGATCAAACATATCAACTGCATCATTAACTGTTAGAGTAAACAATTTCTTATTTTAGCCACTATTTAATATCTAGTTAATGAGATTAAAATTTACCTTGTAAAATCCATAGTTACTTTAATATTATTTTATTGACATCCTTTTTTATTTTTTGTATTAGTTGAAGTGAAACATTTAACTTTACATAATTCTTCACATAAATTAACTTCACATAATTTAAAATGGTTTAATAAAATCAGCTTTTAATCTGTTAATAAAACTTAAAAAAATAAAAAATATTTTTCCTTAACAGCTAAATGAAGAACATCAGACTCGTTTTCTTGAATCAATAAAGAAGAACAATCCTAAAGTTGTAGCATTATCATTGTTTGAAGGTTTCCAAAAGCCTTTTGTCTCTTTTCAAAATTATGAGCCAGCCAGATTGCCAAAAACACTAAGGAGTCTGTATCTCCCATCATATGCCAACCTCAGTAAGGAAAATTTATCAATTGAAGCAGAAAAACTTTTTAACTCGCTGTCAATTACCACTCAGCAACTTAAATACCTGGAGGAAGTAACTAGAAATCAGTCGTCTTCCATTTCTTGGTATGAACACAGGTGTGGTCGTATAACTGGGTCTGTTATGCATGATGTTTTGAAAGCTTCTATTGAAAATCCACCTAAGTCTTTAGTTAGGAAACTTACAAAACCAAATTTTTGTAAAAGTAATACACCTTCATTAATATGGGGACGTGAAAATGAAGAATTTGCATAAGCTGAGTATGTAAATATCAGTTCTGATGACACATACATGAGTGAATCCCTTTGCCTGTCAGTAGTCATGATTCACAATCTTGTTGAAGTAAAAACCTTTGGTTTTGTAGTTTCACAAGAGAAACCATGGCTGGGTGTGTCTCCTGATGGTGTTGTACATTGTTCATGCTGTGGGTACGGAGTTGTTGAGGTGAAATGTCCTTACAGCCTTAAAGATATTGGATTGACTTCTTCGTTAGATGATAAAAATTTTTATGTAAAAAAAAGTAATAATGGTTTCATGTTGGAAAGAACGCATCCATATTTTAGTCAGGTACAACATGGAATGTTCATATTAGACTTGCATTATTGTGATTTTGTTGTCTGGACTCCAATTGATTTTTTATTTTTTCGAATTGAACGTGATCCTTATTTTGTGAATGAGATGATCACCAAAAGTACAAAGTTCTGGAAAAATGTGATCTTACCAGAACTAATGACAAGAAAGTTGGAAATCACAGATGTTAAAACTGTTGAACAACAAAAAGAAGGAGAAGTATTTTGCATTTGTAAAAAATCCAACAGTAATTGGGATATGGTAGGTTGTGATTGTTGTGATCAATGGTTTCATCTAACCTGCCTGAAACTAAAAAATTTACCAAAAACAAAGGTCTGGTATTGTCCAACCTGTCGACAAAAAAAATAATATTTTATTATGTATATATATTATTATTTTTGTTTTGTTTCTTTTAAATGACTATATAAATATTTTTTTTAAATAATAGTTTTATGCTGTTTCGCAACATTATATAAAGACTTTATATTATCTTATTTAAATTGTGATTTTTATAGCTTATCAAAATAAAGTTTGTTAAGCTTTTTTAACTTTTTTAGTTAATTAAGTAATTTTCAGTATTTGTTAAATTTTCAATTTTGAAATCTAAAAGAAAGACTGAAAATGATATATGACTTTATATGTTACAAAATTAAAATTTTATATGCAAGTGACAGAAGAATTCGTTTATAAAAACTCATTTTAAAAAATCGTTAAAACTTTCGATTGATAGGATTAAATGGAATTAACAACTTATTTATGTTTTGTAAATATTTGTCAAATTATCTAGTTATAAGCATCGCCTTTGTTAGTAATCCTTTGTGCTTTTAAAAATATCTCCGTTTTTAATGAATATTTTTGTACTCAATTATATTTGCATTTATTAATGTTCAGTTAGTATTTTGAAGAAAGGATCTCTATTAATTTTCCCATAACTTAAATTTAAAAAAATCGCAGTAATTGGAGCCTGGGAACAAAAATACCTCACCTAGCTCAAATATGAAAGTAATGAGTTTATAAAATATTTTTGGTTGACTCTTATACTAAATTTAAACTCGTCAGTAGCTTTTAATTTTTATATAAATTATCTTTTCGCGTTCCAAAGTTATGACCATAAAATTTACAACCCCCTTGTTATGAAGGATTCGGAAACTTAAAATGGTTAGGTTTTTTAACTCGATTGTACATTAGACTGAACCCAATTTAAAATTTATAATTTTCACCATGCTCAAAATCTTACCTAAGTACCATTAAAAAAGATTTTTATTGTATTTAAACTTTAGCGATTATCTTTTTCCGGATATTTCCGGAATTCCGGATATTTTTCTCAACTTAAGTTTTTCCGGATATCCAAAACGTTTTCCATACATACAAGTTTAGCTGTATATTTTTGTAATATTCTTCTTTTTTTTAAGCTTTTTTCAATCATCACTCAAAACTAAGAAAAGTTAAAAAAAAGATTATAAAACAATTCAGTTAAAAGCAAAATTAAGAGGGAAATATATTTCGAATTTTTTCCGGATATTTTACCCAAACAATTTTCCGGATTTTAAAAATATAGTCTGGATGATCTATTAAAGTTAAATATAAAAAAACTTTTACTTAAATATTTTTTTTTCTGTTAAGATGACCGGTACAGAAAAACCAGTTTACAGATCTTTGAACACACCGCTAAAATTCCCGAGCTCCTGGCACCGGATAAACTTTTCAATGCTAGAAATTAAGGCTAATGAAATTTCGTGCGCTGCTAATTTAACGCTAATTAATTGACGTTATTTTATTTTTAATTATGAATGATGATTTTTTAAACATAACTTTATAATTATTGTTTTTATGTTTAAAGTCGAATTTCAAATAATCCATGATTTTAAATTCTTATGTAATATTAAAGTAATCGGTAATACCAATTAATTTTTTTCCGGGATTCGAGTCGGTCCCCGTTGAAAATAGAATCGTGACGTGTCCGATTTTAGAATTGAAGTTTGTTTTAAAATATTTTAAGAGCACATTATTTATGCTCGAAGTCAATTAGTTGAGTTATTTTTTTTTCTTTCTGCAATTATTGTTATCAGTACCTGACAAATAACAAAAAAAAATTATTTTTTCATTGGTTCTATTTTTCTTGTATTTTCCCTAGAATGTCAGAATCAGAATCTCATAAGCGGCAAAAGCTACAAATGTAAGCGATGCGAAATAAGTTTCTTTTATTTTCTCCAATTTTTATAACGATTCAAATGAAATTAAATAATTTTTGGGAATAGTTGTTAGGCCTTTAACAATCGGTTTAGAACGTTAGGAAATGGCTTAAGGTCATTATAGTCGCAATAAGTCAATTAAGCTTAGTGTCTTTTATATGATGTTGCAAGTATTGTAAACCGTATTTTGGACTAAACTAGTTTTAAAATTCAAAAGTGCTTAATCATTTGTTTTCTTTTAAATGGCGCTGCCTGACTTATTCTGTATCTTGTGCCTCAATCATTTTTCGATTAAACCCCGTTAACTTTAGGACAAAACTATAAATTGGCGGGGGATTATTATCATTAGTGATTAATTAATGAAAACAATTTATATGTTTTTAACTTGAAAAAAAATCTCTTAAGCGTATTGCTTGTTTTTATAAAAAACTAGTTTAATCACGTAAATATTATTTGACTTGCTTGGAACATACTTTATTGTTTTGTATTATGTTTACATAAAACAATCAAATTCGGAAGTATTCAAAAAGATTCTGGAACTTAATTGGAGATTTCAGTGGAAAAAGATTTTCTTAAAGATAAAATCTTATATTGCTTTTGTATTGAGGTCTTTAAAAAATTTTTATTTTTCGATTCTGTTTCGCTTTTCAGCCCAATGGGTTTAAGTGACACTAAACTTTTACAGTCATAAAAAATACATAAAAGTTGACTCTAACATATTACGTATATTATATCATTTACATTATTTATATATTACATTGTATTATAACATTACGTGTATTTTATTCTTAAGATATTCTAGAAAAGCTAAAAATTGACATGACTTAATCAGCATTGATCGAGTCATAAAGTAAATATTACAAAAAGTGTAATAATATTACATGCTAGCGAAACACAATACTTTCTCCTAAGTTTGTTAAAGCAGCGCACACCAGAACAACTTTATCACAGCTAGCATACATTAAATGATTTGCCTCATCCTTTAGACTTTTCACTGATCTTATTGGCAAGATTCCTTTTAGAATTTTATAACGATTTTTCATTAATCCTATAATCCTTTCTATATGAATCCTTACAGATGCAATATTTCTGGTAGATTCAACTTCTTCAACTGATAGCTGGCATTTGTTTTTTGCAAATGCAGGAACCAACAGTTCCGAACTGGAATGAGCAGCAAAATCATCTTTCAATGTAAAACCAGGATCAGCCAAAATTTGATCTCCAGGGTAGTGGTATTTTGATGATGTAAAGTTTGATTCTTTTACAATTTGAATGTCAGAAACACGACCACCCCAACATTTAGATAAAAAGTTAATGGCACCAAGTGGTGTACAGGAAATAAAAACCTTTAATGTGCAATGTTTTTTGTAACTACTATAACATTGTGCTCTTGCTAACAAAGGACCAGGTGACTCAATAAACACTTCAAAACAGTCAATTATTGAAGTAAGCCGTGGAAACTTTGACTTGAAAATATGTGGTATGGTTTCGAAAATGTGTTCTCGAGCTTCCATTCTAATTAAAAATTTTAATTTTTCTGACATCACATCTATCCACTTCCAAAAATATTCAATAGCTGTTGTTTTACTTATGGAGCACAAATGGGCCAACATATCAAAACTCATATTGTGCTTCAATTTAACTATTGTTAAAATTATTTGATCTTCCATAATATATCGAGTTGGTCTATGATCACCATTATGTTCTCCTATAAAAAGGTAATCAATAAGAGTTGTTAAAATATCAAACTTTAACCCGGTTAACATCAAGCAAGTGTCAGGATTTTCCCTTAAAACTTGAAATGAATAAGGAGACAAGTGCACAGGCAACAATAATTTTTCTCGTAATATATCTCTTTCTGATCGTAAATAATCCATTTCATGGTATATACTTTCTCGTTCATATTCACTGACAAGAGACTTCATAGTTATTGTGGGGCTGGTTGGTGAGGCTAAGGGCAGATAATTTTGTTCGATCATAGTACAACATCCTACTTCATTGGTCATGTTATTGTGTACAATTTCTTCGATGTTTTCAATTTGACTAGATCTTTCAGACTGCATATTATCTATTTCATGGTACATACTTTCTCGCTCACATATACTTATAAGAGATTTCATGGCTGTTGTGGGGCTGGTTGGTGAGGCTAAGGGCAGATAATTTTGTTCAATCATAGTAGAACATCCTACTTTATTGGTCATGTCATTGTGTACAATTTCTTTGATGTTTTTATTTTGACTAGATTTTTCAGACTGCATATTATCTAATTCATGAAACATACTTTCTCGCTCACATATATTTATAAGAGATTTCATGGCTATTGTGGGGCTGGTTGGTGATGCTAAGGGCAGAAAATTTTGTTCGATCATAGTAGAACATCCTGCTTTGTCAGTTATGTTACTGTGCATTATTTTATCAATGTTTTCAATTTGACTTGATAGCAAATCAGGCTGACTTTTATCAGATGCATAAGCAGCTAGAATAGAAAAAAATCAAGTTGTGTTTCATGTTACAAGGGTTACATGTACGTACATGTGTTTACGTATATTTATTTGTTTGCTTAAATTAAGCCTTTATCATACCAATAGATTTTAAAATTCTTACCTGATATTTTGTTACAATTTAATACAGATTGTCGATGAAGAGCTTGATGTTTCTTTCCACATGATTTGTAAGAAAACACAGAAGGTACATAATCTGGATCATTTAATTGGTTTTTTTTTTTACCTGTAAAAAAAATATATATCGGTATTTTAGCTACATGAAATACACAACAAGCGTCTTTAAAGAACTAAAAAAGTTATGCTAAACAGCTCAAGCAAAAAAAACCTACCAGAAATAAAATGTTTAGAACAAACATAGTGATATTTGGATCTTGGTGACCAAAGTTTGTTCTTGAGAATATTTCCATCTTTATCTAAAGCAGTACGACTGATTGCATTGAGCCAAAGTTTGCGACGTTCTGGATCATGCGGTAAAATGTAATATTTCAAATCTGGATTTTTTGTTTTGTTGTTTGAACATTCAAAAACACAACAACTTTTGGGCATTTTAAAGAATTCTTTTGTTATAGCCACTAACGCGCTGCAGACAGAAATTAATTTGCCCCCATGCAAAATGGTAGCTGTTCGCGCCAAAGATTATGACGTATTTCCGACTGCGTCCATAAACAGCATTTTTCCAACGTTCTTGTATTATTCGGACGTACTCGGTACTCTACTAAGTTCTATTACTTCAAAACGCATCCTCGTTTTCATTATTTCTACTGGTTCGGTGATATTCTAATAGGCTGTTCACACGAGGGTACATTTGATGGAACATTCCGTGGAACATGGAACATGAACAAATATCCTCTCGTGTGAACGCAAATGGAACAAAAATTTAAGGAACATTTGAGGAACTTTTGTACCGTCCCGCCAACCCAGAACAAATAAATGTTCCGGTGTAGTATGAGATTTTTACTCCCATTATTTTTTTACTCCCCTAAAAAAATTTTATATGAAATTTGTGCCGCGGAGTAAAAAATGCGTATGAAATTTTTACTCCCTTTATGAGATTTTTACTCTCATTAGATATTTTTACCGTTATGTTAATATAGTGCTTAATTAATTTATTTTATAAAAGTTAAGCTTTTAATAAAATTTTTTAACTTAATTTATTTTCTACATTTTAGTAAGAGTAAAATTTGTTATATTATTTTAAATAAACGGTGAAAATATAAATTTTACAGATTATCTTTTTTAAACTTAAAGATCATAGAATATGCAAGTACTTGTTTGATCAAAATGTGTACTTGTTTTATTAAAAAATGAAGGGGAATATCCAAAATTGTTTTATTTTACTATTAGGCTATGGTACTTGTTGCAAACTTGTTAGAAAAGGAGTTTTCTAAACAACAAGTTTACCTTGCTAACCTGCAGAATCTGAAAATCGCAGCTTTTTATTTTTTTCAAACTTTTTTTATTTAACAATTCACATCTGCAAAAAAAAAAGAAAAATTTATCGTAGGTTACCCTATGTATCAGATAGGGTTAAGATTTTTTTTTTAATTAAACACATATTGTTATATAGGTTTATTTCTGGATTCTTTGCTTTCGCTTTACTAATGTGGAATCAGTCAGGCATATGAAAAAGTATTTTTATTCCTTCTCCTACATACGGTTGTAAATTCGCTTATTTTTACGTTTTTAAAACATTTGTTTACAGACTTAAAATAAAAATATATTTAAAAAATGTCTAAAAATTATGAAAAGAAGATAATTTATAAATTTTTTTTTTTTTTGATAATGTTTTACAACAGTACAACATTAAAGTGACTTGCAGTTGAATTGTCAAGGAATATAGCATGTTCACTAAGTTGTGTAAGTGTTAAACTACATGGGTAAGTCAGCCATTTCAACTTCTCTCCATATTTGCTATATACTTTTATATCAATACCCATGAACGAGGCACACCCAATTATTTCTGCATCAGTTGCCCAAGTTGTGTTATCACTCATACCACTTTCATTTAGATACGTTATTATTGATTGATTCATATATAAAGTCATTTCATTATTAATATGAGCACACATATGTTTAACAACTTTTTCTCTTATAATTTCATAACTGCATTCACTGCCTGTAATGATATACGATATTGCCCTCAAAAAGCAATTACCATCGCCTATGGTTTTGTGAATTAGTTTCGGACGCGAAAGTAATTAATATCTGCAATAAAAATATTTTTGGTAATACCAATTCCAAATTTTTCAGAAATAGAAGTTTTCATTTCAATAGTTGCATATTTTCCGATCTTATCATTAGAAATTTGCATATTAATTTCATCAAATGTGATTTCTTGTTCATCATTAGTTATTTTTTCATTATATAAACATAACTTTGTCAAGTTGTACTTTGTTTTCAAAATTTGACCCTTTAGATTTTTCAAAGTGCAGTTATTTGTGCTAGAAATAGAAGTTACAATGTATGGTCCAGTCCAAGGCTTTAAAAGTTTACCACCTTTTCTATTATCACGTCTGCTATTTCTTAGTAACACTTTTTTATTTATGCTAATTTCATTATTTGGTGCAATTCTCTTGTCGTAATCATGTTTTTGTCTTTTTTGAGATTTTTCAATATTTTTATAAGCATCGTCAAAAATTTTATTCTTCATTTTATTCATTGCATGAAAGGTATCTGAAACTATTTTTTTGTTAGAGAAATCATCATTGCTAAGAGCGTTACTATCATTAAAGTCAATTAAATTGCAATCTATATCAATAGGAAGAACTGCTTCCCTTTGGTTAAGCAATGCAAACGGTGAAAACCCAGTAGATTTGTGCTTTCTAACTCTTAAAGAAAACAAAACACTATCAATAATGTATGGCCATTCCAAAGCAGCCTCATCAAGCACTTTTACTAATATACGTTTAATTGTTTGATTTTGTCTCTCTACTAATCCATTAGCTTGAGGATGATATGCACTTGTAATTCTTTGAATTGTTCCTGTTTTTGAGTAAAGTTCTTTAAAAATTTCATTTACAAACTCACGACCTTGGTCATTTATTTGAATTTCAAAACAGCCATGTCGACAAATCTGTTTATACAAAAAAAAAGCCACAGCTTTAGCAGTTTTATCGGTAAGTGCTTCTGCTTCAACCCATTTACTGAAGTAGTCCATTAATACAACCAGATATTTGCAACCGTTAACTTCTGGTAGCTGTGTTAAATCGATTCCTACCTGCTTCATATTGCCTTTAGGAATTGAAATATTTTGCAGCAATGGTTTCGACTGAAGTTTTCTGTTCTTTGACTTTTGGCATTGGTCACATTTGGAAACATAAGTTGTAATATCTTTTATCATTCCATATTAGAAAAATCTACTTTGAATGTGATAGGTTGTGTTATTAATACCTGTATGACCAGATAAAGCTTTAGACTCAACAGAGACATCGTTTCCTTCATGAACAAACTTTATTATGTTTTGTTGTTCATCTCTACTCCAAATAACTTTTCTCTATAAAAAAAAGAAGCTGTAAACCATCAATATAATGAGAATCAAAACTAAATTAATTTTCATTATTTATTAAATAAATTATTTGTAAATATTCGTGTTTATTTAGTGACTAGATTCTAGTTGCAAAATGGCAAAACTATTAAAACATTTTGAAATAATAGCATACCTTTGCATTATTATTAACTATAAATGGCTTAGTTTGTCTTCTAAAATTGGCTTTATCGCCTTTATTTAAAACTTCTTTTGGATATATTTGGTATTTTAAGTAACTAAAAATGTCTGCAAATCTAGAGTGCATGTTTTATTGATATGCAATTCCGCTAATAACAACTTGAGAGTAAAAATAAAATAGTGAGAGTAAAAATCTCATATGCTGTTTTTTACTCCGCGGTAAAAACTTCATGCGATATTTTTACTGGGGAGTAAAAAAAACACGGGAGTAAAAATCTCATACTACACCGGAACATATATTTGGTTTTGTATCAAAAATGGTGCCTATTTTCAACTATTTTTAAAATAAGCGTATGCATATAAGCTAAATGATTCAATAAAAATGCATTGCAAGATGCAAATTTATTGTGAAAGTAACTCAAACTATTTTTTTTTTACAAAGTTGTTGTCATCTTAACCAGAGTTTTTAGTCCTTGGTCTCTGCATTGTCCTAGGTCTTGGTCATATATCAAGACAAGATTATCGATATACTATTTGCCTTTCAACATGTTGCCTTGAAACTTTTAGTTTTTGCCTTCCATCTTTTTTATTGAATTCAAAGTATTTCTTCGAATATAATTGTATAGCTTTATTCATTGAGTAAAAACTTGTGGTAATTTCATGCAACCAATGAAATTCCGATCCCACTCGTGTGGGATCAATCACGAGTAGACCAGATGGTGGGCAATTATTTAAAAACAATTATTTGACCATCACAAATTTCAAGTTATTTTTAACAATATTTAAAATTTGTATAAATAGAATAGAAATTTAGTTATTAGTGTATTATTAATTTAAAAAGAAGTTATATATGTGTGTTTAAAAACGTAATCTTAAAATATAACATTACAAAGACAGTAGTATTCTTATTAAGATCAGTTTTAATTTGAATTAACAAGAAGTATAATTCAAGGTAACATTTAACTTGCGTTAAGAAAGTTTAATTTTCATTGTTTAATAGTTTTTATTTAATTATATTCATTGCAAGCATTGCTATTAATGCATTTTTAATAAACTTATAGTAATTTTATTTATAAAATTCAACTTTGAACTAATAAGCAGAGTTGTTTATCATTGCCCTTGCAAACAGTGATAATAATAATGAAAATAATAATTATTATTATAATAATTATAATAATAGTAATAACAATAACAACAATAACAATTGTTAATATTATTATCATTATTATCATCTTTGTTATTATTATTTGTATTAATATTATTAATGATATTATTATTGGTATATATTGTTATATATGAGCTTTGTCATATATTTTATTTATATGTCATATATATTTTATTATATTAGCTTTGTCTTATCTTGTTATTTTAATTTGTGAACATTACCATTAGTATTTTCCTCATAAATATTCTGTATTTACTTAATATTAGTTAATTTACTGTTTGTGAATAATTGTGAAAGTAAGGCCTTTATTCAGAATATATATTATTGATTGACTGTATTGATATGGCTGTACCTAATATCTTTGCCACAATATACTACAATTATTGACATTTAAAAATAAAAATAAACAATAGTGTTGAAAGATCAATGTTATTAAATAACAAAATTATCACATTGCATGGAAAAGTAAAAAAAAGTAAAAGTACCATCTGAAAGTTTCTGTTCTCTTGGCTACCAGTTTTTGGCAATTTATTAAATTATTTAGTAAGCCCATAACATTATTAAATAATTTTAAGCCCATAACATTTATAGCAATTATGAAGTTTAACCTTTAATTTTATTATTAACTATTTCTCTTCTTTTTGTTGTTGTTATTGTTGCAAGATTCAATGTACTTATCCTTTTTAGTAGATAAAACTTTAATTTTACAATGTCTCAGCATTCAGAAAAAGAGTGTATTGACGCAAGCACAACAAATATTGGTCTTTGCACATCTCCTTTAAATAAATTTGTATGGAATATGGCTAACACAAGAGTATTATTAGATTTATGGAAAGATAAGCATGTAATGTAAGCATAAACATCTGCAAGAAGAAACACAAATATTTACAAACAAATGGCAGCTGAATTTTCAAACACATTTAATATCATACCTCCGTTAACTGGATATCAAATTCATATCTAAAATTAGTAATTTGAGGAAGCAATTTAGGTATGTACATATTCTACATTTAGTGTTTGATACCTTACTAAAATACTGAAAGTATTTTACAAAACTAACCATGTGTAATAATATCTAATTGCACTTTAGTTTGTAACTGAGTGTTATATTAAAAATTACTTAAATCTTATTCAGTATTAAAGATTTACAGCTCGTTGATAATTATTTTGTTAATAATTCGTTATTTTATTATTCGTTAATAATTCTTTAATTTTGTTAATAATTATTTCGTTAATAATAATTTGTCCATTTAAAGTTATTTGATTAATGTTATACGGTGTTAATGATGTACTTATATTTACTTATATTTATGTATATTTTTCATAGACGAGAAAAACTTAAGGTTGGTTCATCGACAGGAGCTTTTAGTAAATGGTGGCCTTACGATATTGTTGCCAAAATAATAGGTGGTGAAGCTTCCCTTGATAATGACCTTTTATCTCAAAGTCAAAACTTTTCTACTCAAGATTTTCAAGATGGTCAGGTAAGTTTAGTATAATTTATTGTTGTATATTTTAAAGTGCTATATATTTTTTAAAGTAATATAAACAAGCGTCTTAACTATTTCTACAAAATAAGGTTTAAGAGGTTCATAGTTTTGCAACATTTGGGAGACTTAAAACATAAAGATCAAAATCATATAATATAAAGTTTTTGAAATATAAAAGGGATCTTTTAATATTGGCTAGATCAATTTGTAAAATGCTATTGTCTAAATAGATCCTTTTTGTTTAGGGAAGGAAGGGAGTAAAATGACTTCAAGTCAAGTCTTTCAAAGTCAAGAGATAAATTTTGATTGAAACATGATTTATAATCATTTCTCAAATCTGTAATTTTTTTAATGTGTGTATTTTATTTACAGATTGCCACAATGGAAGATAGCAAGGGGACTGTCAGTATTTTAAATATTGAAGCTTTGGATGATACAAGTGATGTGCAATCAATTTTCACAATTATTGATGAGGAACTAACTCAACCTACATCTGGCTGCAATAAACGAAGGAACTCTGATGAAAAAATTTTGAATAAAATAGCAAAAACTGAACCGGTGAGAAAAAATAAAAAAACAAATTTTTCATCTGAATATTTAAAAATAGCAAATGGAAATCTAGATGTTCAAATCCGTTCACAAGAGCTACGAATCAGAGAGGTTGTTGCTTTAGAGCGTATTTGCGGTGCAATTGAAAATGCATCTAAAGCCCAAGTAGATGTGTCTAAAGCCCAAGTAGAATATTATAACTTTTTAATAAAAAAATAAGGTGTTCTATTAGTCAAGATATCTTTTTAGTAATTATGTTAAAGTTGAAAGGTCAGTATTTTTTTAACAGTATACCTTGTTTACAATTCTATGCAATATATATTTCATAAGGTTATTCAATGTTTTAACTAAAGAGATGGTTAGTGAAATATTGTACAAGCTTGTAGATGAAGCTCTAGTTATATATATTTTTTCATGTTACCATATTACTATTATCAAAGGAATTTTTACTTTATTTTTTTTTTTTCAGCCAATCGTTATCGCAATAATTTAGACCTTCCTATATTTATGAACGGTAATGTACTCGATGAGTCTCCTACCCTTCATCTTCTAGGATTAACTCTTCTGATCTTTCTTGAAAACCTTATATCAAATCTGTTGCAAAATTAGCATCTGCTAAAGTCGCTCCTCTTTATCGAGCTCGTCACTTTCTTACTCTAGATTCTATTCTCTATCTCTATAAATCTTAAATCCGGCCTTGTATGGAATACTGTTGCCATATCTGGGGTGGATCTTCTAATGATGCTCTTTCTCTTTTAGACAAGGTGCAAAAATGCATTGTAAACATAGTTGGACCAAACTCTTGCAACCAACCTTCAACCTCTGTCACATCCTTGTAATGTTGCTTCTCTTTCTCTTTTCTACAAATACTATAACGGGCACTGCTCTAAAGAGCTAGCGTCTCTTGTGCCATCTACAAAAATTCATTCTCGTGTTACTCGTCATTCAATTAAGTCTCATCCTTTTTCTGTTACTGTTCCTAAGTGCTCCAAAAACTCTTATTCGTCTAGTTTTTTTCCTTGAACATCAGTTCTTTGGAATTCGCTTCCTTCATCTTGCTTTCCTGATTCATATAATTTGCAATCTTTTAAATCGTCTGTCAATCGTTATCTTGCTCTACAATCTTCATCTTTTCTCTTCCAGTAACTTCTAACACTAATTAGTGGTTGCTTGCAGCCTTGTTGAAAGCGAAGATGTTGAAAAAAAAAAAAAAAAAAGTAAAATAAAAATATTTTGTGATTTCAAGCATTAAAATGCATATCTGGTGGTATTTTTTAAATTTGTCATGTTATTTTATAAATACCTTTTTTTGCATCTCTATGCTATATATATTTAGTATTTTTACCAAATAATTTTTTTTTGCGATATGAAGCAAGCCTGTAGATAAATTATAGTGATATGTTTTTTGCCAACGTGTTTTGTTTTTAATTTATACAAATTGCATTACATGTTCCATTTTTGTTTTTGTTAACAGATCATGCTGTATCAATTCTAACAAAACGGTTTTTAAAAATGTGCTTTAATTTCCCTTGAATTGTAGTATAATAAGTATTATATTTATTTAATATATTTATATAGTTTTAATAGCTTTTTAGGGAGACATCTGTAAAGGAAAAAGCTATTGGAAAAACATGGAAAGCATTTTGGATGTACTTCGATCAAGAAGTAGAACATTAATCAATGATGAATCAATCACCCACCC